CTACCAAACTCCATTTGACAAACCATGTTCGTACGGGGTGATGCAGTCGAATCGCACAACCCAACTTTAAGGTGGGTGATCTTTAACGACAGAAATATGCTAATGTCGCACATGATGGAAACCTTAACGGCGCCGAGTTTTGTTATCGGATTTTCTGACAGTAGACAGTGACTGTATTAGGCGGGTTGACAGGGGTGTGTTTGCGCCTTTTTTCATCGGACTAATATTTCCTCTTTCATTTTTCGAGCATTTCGACGTTGATTGAGAGAACGCCCCTGTCGTGTTTTCTGCGTTCCTTTTCTTGGTATTCTTCGTTACTGTTAGATTTTCATCGTGTATAATTCGTATATCGACTGGCCCAATTTTCAGTCTTGTTACAGTTATAGAGTACATAAAAAAGCACATTGCCGAAGGCTTGGTCGATAAAGGAAGCTGTCGAAGGAAAGAAAAGCACGTGAAAGAGGAAAGATATTATATCGTGAACAAAATTACTAATGTAACAGTTTTTATAAAAAAAAAAAAAAAATTCCAAAGTAGAGACAATTGATGGCATAAGATACTATCGTTCCATACAGTTTTTAATTGTTTTCGAAAGGTCTCCCGCTAGTGTGGAGTCATTAATAATAACGAAAAATAAATAAAACGTGGCGATATGCGGAAAGATTCGCCATACCGAACATCTGTGGAAGCTCGGGGAACGAAAATAAAGTATCTTGTAGCCTTTAGAAATAGTAGTATCTGACGAAGACGAAAATATAAGAGTTCTTCCCTTTCAGCGATAAATCAGAATGATGTACTAGTTTTTTTTGTAGACATAACACAACCCCAGACTGCAGGAATCAAAAACGACACAAACACAGTCTCGATTAGAGTTTGTTTGTTCGTGGCGTTAGAGTGCTAGCGAGCTAGTGGGCGCGTAGGGTCTAAAACACGCACGCACGCACGCACACGCACACACACACACACACACGCACACACACACACACGAAAGACTCATAAGTGAACAGTTGAGAACCTTAATTTCGTCTTCTCTTCGACTCTTAAGCTATTTTACATCCTGTTGCCTTATTTTTAGTCAATATCAGATCATTCTTTTGAATCTTTATTGTGAGATGTTGCAACGCATAATTAATAAAGAAGTATGTATTCACAACGCGAATATAAGATTTTATTGTGCTACGAGAGTTGGCACTCTATGTCACTTAACTGGATCCAGTTAAGTTTAGCGGTTTTTTCCCCCGTTATGCTGCGTTTTTTCTAATTAGTGAAGAGTGTGCATGCACAGCCAGACCCTGTACATTACAGTATTATGGTACATTGTCCTTATGGGCGGGCCTGAACAGTCATTTCTCACATGACTTTGAATGAACATTCTTAATTTGACGGGTCCGTTAACCCCCCCCCCCCCCCACACACTTTTTTTGTGGCACGACACTCACAATAATGATTACTATTATTACTAATAATAATAATAATATTATTATTATTATTACTGTAAATGGCTCCAATTCACAACTGTCAATGAGTGAAATATAATTATTTCCTCATACTCATGCCGTGCACTTCTGACTGTTTTCTACTCGCTGTGTGTGTGTGTGTGCGTGCGTGCGTGTGTGTGCGTGTGTGTGTGTGTGTGTGTGTGTGTGCGCGTGTGTGTGTGTGTGTGCGTGTGTGTGTGCGTGTGTGTGTGCGTGTGCGTGTGTGTGCGTGTGTGTGTGCGTGTGTGTGCGTGCGTGCGTGCGTGTGTGTGTGTGTGTGTGTGCGTGTGCGTGTGCGTGTGTGTGTGTGTGTGTGTTTGTGTGTGTGTGTGTGTGTTGTCAATGCATTTGCTGTGTTTCTGTTTTTGTGTTTTCAGTTTCTATGCGTGATTTGTAGCGGTTGCAGTTTTCCCGTGTGCCAGCACGGGAAAACTGCACAGCATGGTTATAATGCAATTAAATGCAAAGGGGCAAGCGAGCTGGACAATAACGGTGATAATAATCCCTGGAGAAGGGGAACAAGAGGGACAAGGAGATTTATGTTTGTCCCTTGTCCCTCTTGTTCCCCTTCTCCAGGGATTATTATCATCATTATCACAGCATGGTTGTTCCTGCGTGCCTAATAAAATTGATTGTTGATTCTTCATTCTTCTTATTATTATTATTAACTGTCTTCTCGGTGCAATCTTTCGTATCACGCTCGGTATAAAGGTAACGTCTTGCAGTCATTCGATATCCCATCTGTTGACCTTTTCCTTCCAACCTTTCGATCGCTATTTGCTCTTTGCGGACGATTATCTTTGGCAACGGTGGGACGACCGTTTCACGATTCCCATCGTTGTCCGTCGCTCCGTTCAGAATATGGCAGCATACACGCAACGCCCTGCGCATGGACGCACAAAGCGACATCTTTCCGAATAGGTGCCGCAGTGCTTGCAGTAACCTGTAGCATAGCCTCCACTCACAAAGCCTGGCAGTTCGACGACGGAGCCATAGAGTGCTCGGTCGGAGATTTGGAGCGCAAGGGTCTGGTAGCACAGAGCATCAAAGAGCCACCTCTCGGGGAACCTGGACGTCAGCGCACGGATTTTGCAGTGGCGAGGACCCGAAACACACTTGTTCGCTCGGGAGAAGTGTGTTTTGGCGTCTCGCCGCAGCGGGGCGCCAGTCACGTGGCTCTCCTCTCATCCGTTGTCTGCTACTCCACCTTTTCCATTTAGGTGGCCGCTTCTCGTGGCGATCTGCCAGGCTTTGTCAGTATATAAGAGGCTATGCCTGCATTACAAGATGTAGCTGCAGGCATAGCCGGCAAAATAACCTATGCAAATAAACGACTGAAATGTAGCGCTAGAAGTTCAAACCAGGTTCCAAGGTTTCAGCACTAGCCCTTATCTCATTCAAAAGTTATATGTGATTTTATGAATTCTTTTTAATGAGAAGGTGGGGCCCATTTTTGGCCTTTTTGCGGTAACTGGCGCCATAGAGCTCCATGTATTGGAGAGCTCGGTCGGCCGACATTTTCCCAATGAAAATTTCAGAAAGTCACTTATAACTTTTGAATAAAATAACGGTTAGTGCTGACACTTTGGCAACTGGTTCGGACCTCTAGCGCGAGTGTCGGGCAGAGAATGAGCGTTCGGCAATGCCTATACTTCATTTTTGTAATAAAATAAAAAAACCTTGAAAAAAACATTTTTTGGGTGACACTGTACTTTCACCCAGCTCTGGTCTTCAACACACTTGGCACATGGCCTACTTTTTGAGACGTTCCGTAGAATAAAATGTACACAATGGAATTTCAGATTTCTAATTCATTTGCTTTTTATGATAGCCAGGCAATTACAGTCGTCAGAAACGTTACGATATTCTGACAAGAAAAACAGAACTCGAGAATTTTGCCAATGCGGCCTATTTGATTCCATGCTAATAAACTGTACAGCCGCGGTATAAAAACTATGCGCGTTTGAAAGTTGAATTATGGCTTATTGATGTTTTACGACTGTCATCTAAAATATTTCCGAAAATTCATTGCGATGTTTTTTTTTTTTTTTTTTTTTTTTTGTTATTCATGTTCAAATTTTCAACACTGAGAGAGGGCACAAGGCGTTGATGTCCAAGAAAGTTGGGGATAGACCTTTCCAAACAGAAGGTGAAAAGTATTTTCCCCAGTACATGATGATTTAAAATGTCAGGATGTTTACGGTGATCTTGTGTGCGCGTTGCACAGTTTGCTCTGCGCGGCGGTTTTCTATTTTTAGCTTTGGTTTTCTTCATTCTAACTCACATTTGAATGGATTCTTAAGGACTTTATTTCTCCTGAGCTTGTATACGTGAAACACCTGATTCTTCTTCTTTTTCTTCTTCTTCTTCTTCTTCTTATTATTATTATTATCGTTATTACTATTATTCAGAACATATAAAATGTTCTGAAATGTATTTTTAAAAAATGTGGCTTATAATTAGGCTGTCCAACAGTGCAAATATTTTCAGCGATCTTATAATGCCAAACATTTGTTCTTTATTTCAAGAACCAGTGGTACCACTATATTTGGTCAAATAACTACAAAATATCCCATAAACCGCGTCTCGCACACTTCGACATGCCGCACGATTGAAGCGATCTCGCTGCTTTACGAGATATGCGATGATGACTCGTACACATTACTACATGTTCCTGATACTTTCAGTCAGGGCTTCCAGAATCTGTTTCTTTTTCCCTAAATTCTTAGACAAAATTGAAGAAAAAGAAAAAAAAAAACGGTTCCGTCTTTTTACGACGAATACACTGCAGTACTTTTTTTTCTTAAAGTTTGTTTTGAATCAGCCTTGACTTCTGTTTGTACGCGTGTGTGCTATCCCGTGTGAATTGTTTTGTTTTCTCATTGCTAGCTTCAATAAGCTTTGACGGGCCCTTTAACCCCATGTGCACCACACTGTTAACAATTCTTCTTCTTATTAGTATTAGTATTTTTATTTCATTAATTAATATGTTTATAAATGTTATCATTATTCAAATTCTTCAGAGGAATTGGCAGACATTGCGAACTTCCTTCTGGTAACAAACACTGGTTTTGGGGACGAAAGTGATATGTCCACCGGATGTTATTTAAATTTAGTGGACAGGATCTCTGCAATGATTCTTACCCATATTATTTAATAAGTGCACACACGTTTTCACGTTATTAAATAAAAATAAGTTATTTGTTTTACAGGTAACTGCTGTACTTGGAAATGGAACCTCATACATTCGACCACTAAATACACATTCGACGTTTAATAATTACGCCTATTACGGGGTGTATCAAGATACGCGGGTGTGTGTATATGACATCCGTTATTATTTTATTTTATTAATGAAAACGTACACGTTTTAAACAAAAAAGAACCTAGCTTTTTTTTTTTTTTTCTCCGACAATCGATTTTTAATAACTAGTTTTTGCATTCTAAATAATAAGCAAGAAACAGTTTTGTATCTGTTTTAGGGGACAACGAGTACAGTGGAACAAAATAACGTGGGCTCACCTTGAATGCGACATCGTAGGCTTCCACACTGCTGATGGACGAATGCCGCATGAAGGCCCTTCGGACCGCTGCCCCGTTGCCATTCGACACGGCAGCCGCCGTTCTGCACGGCGACGAAGGCCCACTGGCTGACGGAGACCGCGCCGTCGGTGACGCCGGGTTTGAAGACATTTTGAGACGGAGCCCTTTCCTTTATCTCACCGGACGCCCGCAGGCCAGAGAAACGCGCTTCGTTTGGATCGAAAAGCGGAGCAGAAACCACAACATGGATGTTTGTTTCAAGCGCGCGTTATGAAGCACACCATCTCGGTCGCTGAGACTACGCCGGAAACATCGGAGCGCTCCGTCGGCGTCGAGCAGACGAAAGCGAACAGTTGCAGACGACACGTTGAAGCCGGCAGCTGCGCATGCCCGCGAAAACGGAAGAGCGGAACTCTACAAGGGCGCATGCGCGGAAAACCAGTCGCTTGCTTCGCGAACCTCTCGATAGATGGAGGCACCACGCACAAGGAAGTCGTTACAGTAGTGGCGTGCGGTTTCAATAGATGGCGCATACCGCGGAGTCTTCTCCGACTGTTAAGAGGTGGCAGCATATGCATCGGCGCTGCGAGGCAAAGACAGTTTGTTTTCATTACCACGGTTGTTCACGAGGCATGTATTTTATCGTCTGCGAGGAGTCGCTATTTTTGAACGTCTAGTGTTATAATGTGCTCTTAGAACTGTCCCAACGCTTAGACTTTCCGAGAAAAACCTATTCAAGCGTCGTTCCTCAAGACAAGCCCGCCTTTTGTTGCGCTTCCTACGCGACGTCCGTAATAATTTTAGCAAAAAAAAAAAAAAAAAAAAAGGAAGCTACGATTATTGTTTAGAATTCGGCCTCTACGCAGCGCGATGCCGGATCGTCTTAGAATGACAGATGCTGGACTCTTATTTTACTGCATCTTTTTTTGTGTGTCTGATATGTACTTGATTAATACATGTGCTGACAAAGCTGTCCAGTCTGATAGGAAGCAGGGACTTGTTCTCTACCACAATGGAGTAAAGAAAGTGAATTGAGTTGAATTGACTCACAGTGAAGCCGATGCCGACGGTGGCCGAAAACGAGCCCGTCTGGAACTTCCCTTGGTCGAACTGCACGAGGAGCGATGTCTTGCCCACTCCACTGTCACCCACCAGGATCGTCTGTGAGTTGACAACAGGTGCACCGGGTTCAATGCAAAATTACGCCAAAATGTCGGTGAAAGTTATATTAAAGCTTGGGTTTGGGCTAGTTGGTCCATTACTGAATAAAAGGTTAAAAAGCGCGAACAAACGGGGACAATAAAGAAACACAAAAGACAGGACAGGCGCTTCTAGCGCCTGTCCTGTCGTCCGTGTTTCTTCATTGTCCCCGTTCGCGCTTTTTAACCTTTTATTCAGGAAAGTTATGAACGCTCTTAAAAGCTGGAGCATAAAAAAAGGGAGATTTGCCACATGTTTCTGAGATCGATTGATACATCGAATTAAAGATGGAGTGGTTAACACTCTTGTCTATCATAAAAGACGGAAATTTGCCCTCACTTCCAACGCTGTGCTGAAACTAAAAAAAAAAATAAAGTGGTGAGAGAGGGCATGGCGATCTTAGAAGCTAAGATTGTGGTGATGCACAAAATTCCTTTCAAGCGATGACAGAAAGCTTAGACGTGGTTACAGGATCGTGTTCTTTCAAAATAGTTCCAAAGCCGTGAACCCCTTTCCAGGTCGGAAGTAAACTTTCTGAAAGAAAGAATCGATGGATAAATCTGAAACCTCTATGTCGGGCGAAATTTGCCGTGTTGTATAACCGGGTGTCTAGGAAAACGTGTGCAGTGTTTTCTCCCTGCATAATCAAACGCTGATAAAAAAAAATACATTTTTAAAAAATAAAAACAAAAACCCCACTAGAACTAGTGCCAGCTATAAACACGACTATTGAAGTGACAGATTTCAAACCTCCTCCAGATTTACCTTGGCTTGATTGATATAATAGTCGACCATACTTCTTTGCTAATCTTCAAAACGAGAACAAAATAGATGCACCGAAAACGATTTAAGTTGTGCGGGGTTCAAATTTTTGCGAATTTCTGGAGTAAAAGCATTAGCGAGTTAAAAGTTTGTATCGCGAATATGTCACTCCACGCCCACGGTAGCAAACACACGGCAGATCACTGCAAATCTCGAGAAATTGTGGCCGCGAAATATTCCCGAAACCCACGCTTTCTCATATTCACGGAATACTGACCCCGCGAATATAAAGTCGATTAGAATTTACTCACTCCTTTGTAATCGTTTTTATTTTTTTTTTTTTGCATTGTAATTGTTTATGGTAGTTAGAGTTTACTTGTAGTTTTCGTGCTCTAATATTTGTGTTGCTGTATTATGCAGTCACTTGTGTAGCTTATGTAGTTTGGTACTAGAGGCCTAGTCAAGCGACCTCTGCTCTCGATTCTTGCCACAGCTTCAGTGCACATTCGTATTGTCTGAAATTCGAAAGAAACAAGCAAAACTATTGCCGAACATTCAGTCTCCGTCTAAATGTAGCATTAAAGGTCCGGATCGAACGCCAAAGTTTCAGAAGTAATCATTATCCGATCCAAACCTTATTACAATTGTTGGAAATCTCCAACGAGCAAACGAGGCGCGTTCCCGCTAGCAGACGACATTCACCTCCATGTATTCATAAGCCTCGTCGACTGCCATTTTTGCCGTTAAAATTTCGAGAATTCATTATTAGTTCTGAATTATATATATATATATGGAGTACATCTGGGCAGACACTGAGGGTTAAGTAATGCACAACTTCTTTTTTATGTTAAAAAACAAAAACAAAAAAAAACACTAAATATTTTTTGACGCCTTTTGTATATCTGTTACCTCTTTCTGAAATAGATTGCGGTTTTAGCAAACTGATGAAAGTCTGGTTAACCCTGTCTTTCGTAGTAGACTGTCATTTGCCCTCGTTTGCCACGCTATCTACTCTCTGCAGATGAGAGGCTCCTCCCACCAAGGCCTCCCTTCTTTCCACTTTAGCAGAACAAACGCTGGAGAGGAGGAAACCGCCAATCACGGTCAAGCAAATAGCTTTGTGGAAAGGGACCTGTCCTGCCTTTCTTAACCTGCAGCAGACGATGCCAACAGACCCTTTCCGCAATAGTGAAACGATGCGTAGATTACGCGCAGCCGCCATTAGTTGGTCTCCTTCGCTTCCGGTGTGAAGCCCGTGATTGGTTCCGAGCTCGCGCCGAGCACTGACGCAGCATTCGTGTGGAATGCTGACGAAGCGCTCGTCTCCAATGCGTGCTCACAGTGAATGACCAACTAATGGCGGCCGCACATAATCTATGCATTATTTCTAAATTTTGAAAAAAAAAGGTCTTTCGCTTAGTTATGGCGACACTCTGTACTACAGTCACTGACAGAAGAGTGAGAACGGCAGGGCGTGTCTTTCGAAAGCCCCGCCTCCTGCATGCTCTTCGTCGTGCTTTGGCTGCACGTGCGCACTCGAGATGCGCGAGACGCCCGAGCGTTGTTTCATAGAGCCTTCTCTATTCTCACAAAGCCTGGCAGTTCGACGACGGAGCCATGAGTGCCCGATCGCAGATTTGGAGCGCGACGATCTGCTAGCACAGAGCATCCAAAAGCCATTTCTCGGGGAACCCAGAGCCGTATATTGGGAGAGTTTGGCCTATGGGCGGAGCAAAGGCCGCTGCCAGCGCCGAATACTCCTCCCGGGGTTAGGGCGTGAACTAGATGTGCGACACAGCGTCGACCAATTATCAGACCGCGACGTCGCAGTATGAGAAACGACATAGAAAACATGAAATAGAAGCGTTCAATTTCGGCGTCTCGGGGACAATTTGCTCTATGCCGGCTTGAGAACAGCGCCTCAGCTGTGGGTGGGGCGCGCTAGCGCCTTGGTTGAGTCCCGCTCGGCTCGTGCGCGGGCTTTGGCAATGCTTTCTTTCCCCCAGTTTCAGCTGAGACGCTGTTTCTAGCAAGACGGGCCTGGTTTGGAGCGCACCTTCGTTTATTCTACACTTGAATATGGACGTGACGAAAACCTCACATGCGCCAAGTTTTCAGTCTCCAAGAGTTATACCCATAGAGTTATTATAATGTACGCTAGAGGTTCAACTGGCGCTAGTCTATGCGACTTCCGTGACGCAAATTGAGGCAGACAGCAACCAGTCTACTTTTGCGGTGCTCCTGTACATTCCTATGGGAAAACGCGCGTGCATTTTGTCTCTTCGCCGGAAAATAACATGGAACACTTTGGTTATTTCGATCGTACCGAATAGTATGTGTCTTAATTAACATTGTAAAAGTGTAATTGCTTTAGTTAGCGCATTTTTCTTCATCAGTGAGCGATGTTTAACTTCGCTGCATTTCAGTCCCAAACGTGTGTTCCGCAGCAGGTGTGTAAAAACAAGCGACGATTCAAGGCAAAATTATGATCGAAACGAATATAAAGTGTGTTCAAGGCTCGCCAGCATTCCGGTGACGCTTGTATATTGATAATATGCCAGTCCTGTCACCATATGAAAATGATCCCGTCGTGCATGAGCGGATAAAAACCTTCAACGTAGAGAATAAAGTCCGTGGGATATGAAAGGTGTCTCTTCGTATTATTTTCTCTGCCGGGCAGCTTTTATTGCGCACTTGTTCTCAAAGGTGTCTAGCGCGCGGGTGATATTTTGAACGTAGAACACGCAGCTTCGCTCAGGACAGAAAGGATAAAGCGGTACTCACTTATTTAAAATCGGAATAGATTACGTGGCCTTCAATTTATTTTGATCGTACATGCACTGCGAGTTACTGATCAGGTGCTGCTGCGTAGTTCTTGCCGCCGCTCTTGATTTTCCAGATGTCCTTCGTTCGGTCGTTTGGCATGTATATCCCCCATGCTGGAAATCGCCGACGCCGCGTTCGCGCTAACAGTGTCCGACAGTGCACATAAATACACGCTCGCAGCCGTTTTAGCACCGTTTTAGTGCGATGAATTCGAGAGAAAAACGCCGTAACTGACCAATTATTTCGTCGGCGTGACTGAGAAATGTTCCAAACTACCTAGTAAGTACGAATTATTTCGGATATTTGCTCTTATGATCGAGCGCAGGGAGAAAATGCACTCACTTTTTCCCATAGAAATGCATTCCCGGAAGTCAATTTTCGACTGGTTGCTGTCTGCTTCAATTTGCGTCAGCACACTAGCGCCACTTGAACCTCTAGCGTACATTATAATAACTCTATGGTTATACCTTTCTCCTCCAGTGAAGCTAAAACGGCTTAAATTAGTCGAGTCTCATTTTTAGGTCTCATGATTACCGCTAGGGGCTGTTATGCGGCCTTTGGTT